AAATCTAAGCCCCAGTGAAAAGCAGAGGGTGTTGACCACAGGACTTTCAGTCACATGAGTCACTAAATTATTCTTTTATTAGTAATTTTTAGTGTCTGTCACTTTTTTTTTTTTTAAGATTTTATTTAACTTTATTTACTTAAATTTGACCAGAGAGAGAGAGAGAGAGAGAGAAAGAGAGAAAGCAAGTCGCCAGGTCTGGGACTCAAACCGTGGCTAGCCATATGGGAGTCCAACGCCTTTAACCACCATGCCACATGCTGGCCCCAGTGTCTGTCACTTGTAAACTGAAAGAGTCCAAATAACTTTCAGTCAGTCCCCGTGAGACTTGAGTTAGTCTGAACTTCTGTGTAGGGTGTAACCAGTTTAGACAGGGCTGGATCCAGATGTCCAAATGTGGTCAGCTTTCACTCACTTTCTTTTCTTTTTTTTTTTGGAGAGGTTTTCGCTGTAGGGCGCATGCGCTCGCCAGACAGAGAGAGACATAGAGACAGAAAACGAGAAATCACCCCCCAGAGGGGATGGTCACGCCACAATCCCTTCTCCTCCATTCTCCTCTTGGGATCTTGGGCACGCATGCACACGCGCCCAGTGTGAGTTTTAAGCCACCGAGTCTGGGACGCGAACCGCGGTCGACTATGTGGGAGTCCGCGACATAGCCATTACGCTCACTGCTGGTTCCCATCACTTTCTTTTCTTTAAAATTTTACTTATTATTATTTTTTAAATTTTTCTATAGGGCATACATGTTCACCAGAGAGAAAGAGAGAGAGAGAGAGAGAGAGAGAGAGGGAAAGTGAGAAGGCAAGCCACCAGGTTCCAGACTTGAACCACAGTTGGCCATGTGGGAGTCCAGCACCTTAACTACCATGCCACCTGCTGGCCCAGTGTGTCACTTTTTACCTCTGGGCTCTGCTTTCCTAGTGAGCCTTTTGCAGTGTGGGAGCAAAGTGTCTGCTAACAGTGTCATGCTTCCATATTACCAGCCAGATCATCTGAGTGGAAATAAACCCGTCTCTCTGATATGGACCAGCTGTGGTCAGATGCTGCTCCCTGAGCCAATCACTGTGTAGGAACCATACTACACTGACTGGCCAGCTGAGGTGATGTCCCCACCTCTGGAGCCAGGAAGGAGCCTGCTCCCCCCAAAAAACACATAGAGTGGTAGTGGGCTGGGCAGGGTCACCAGCAGAAAATGAGAGTACTGTCAATAAATGAGGTGAAACATGCTGGGTAAGAGAAACCGCTATCCCGGCAAGCCCCTAGCAGCCAAGGCCAGGGCTACATGAGGGCAGGATCCAGAATGTTGCAGGCCCTCTTTCTGTCCTTTGGGCTCTCTCTCCTGTCCTCTCACTTCTCCCAGCAGACTGGCTTTCTCTGCTCATCTCTTGCACATCACTATGGCTTACAGTGGCTCTAATTCTGCATCTGATGTCACACTGCTCAACGTTTCAGGGCACTAATTCCAAACTTATGGGAAGGAGAGCCTCACTGGCCCAGCCATGTTGGCAGGCCAATTGTGGTGCCACCTGCTGTCTCTTCATGGGACATGGTACCCTGATTACCCAGCTGGCACATAGCAGGTGTTCAGTGAATGCTAGTAACCTGGCTCAGGTCCTTCCTGCTGTCTGCAGCCCTGCCCAGGGCACCTCTCCAGTCTGAAAGCCATCTTCCAATACCATCCCCAGCTATGAGCTCAGAGTTATCATCTGGAATACTGAAGATGTGGTTCTGGATGATGTGAATCCCCTCACTGGAGAGATGTCGAGTGATATCTACGTAAAAAGGTAGGCCTGCAGGCAGGGCCAGACAGATGGCTGTGTGCTGAGGGGGGATTGCACACTGGGGCTTGACTCAGGTCCTCTACATGCCTGGGCAAGAAACTGGGGCCTGGGCATGGTTCCAGCCCTGATGTCCACTTGCCTTGGCTTGTCCCTTTCCTCTGGTCCCAGCTGGGTGAAGGGGCTAGAGAATGACAAGCAGGAGACAGACGTGCACTTCAACTCCCTGACTGGGGAGGGCAACTTCAACTGGCGCTTTGTATTCCACTTTGACTATCTGCCCACTGAGCGGGAGGTGAGCGTCCGGCGCCGGCCTGGACCCTTTGCCCTGGAGGAGGCCGAATTCCGGCAGCCAGCCGTGCTGGTCCTGCAGGTCTGGGACTACGACCGCATATCTGCCAACGACTTCCTTGGTACTGTTCAGCCATCCCCAATCTCAACCCTGGCTCCTGCTTTCTGCTCTCATGAGATCCACCGCTTAGCCCTTGTCCTGTGGATCCCTGCTCTAACCTAGGATTTCAGACCCTACGTACGAACCTCTGCTTTCTGGTCTAAGTTTTGAGCTTATTAAACCCTGACCACAATCATCTCCATCCCCACCCAAAGTCCTGAGCTGTCCTCTGATCTGACCCTTGGATTCAGATTCCATGGCCTTTGGCAATCTGGTCCCAAGCCCTGGTCCTCTTCCACTGGGATCTTGACAGCCTGTTGACAAGTGGGCTATAGGGTGAATAGTCCATAGCTGTGTTCTGACCACCGCATTCTTTTCTTTTTTTTTAAAGAGGTTTTAGCTATAGGGTGTGTGTGCTCGCCAGAAAAACAGAAACAGAGATAGAAAGCGAGAAATCACCCCCCAGGGGAGATGGCCACACCACAATCCCTTTTCCTCCATTCTCCTCTCGGATCTTGGGCACACACACCCATGCGCCTGGCTTGGGTTTAAGCTACCAGGTCCGGGACTCGAACCGTGGTCGACTACATGGAAGTCCAGTGATAGCCATTACGCTAACTGCTGGTCCCTTTGACCACCACATTCTAACTTTTAATGCCCCAATTTATAGCCCAGTGTGGGGGCCCATTAGTCCCTGCCCTCACTAAGGCAGGATCCCCGATTTATAGGATCCCTGGAGCTGCAGCTGCCGGACATGGTGCGGGGAGCCCGGGCCCCTGAGCTCTGCTCTGTGAGGCTGGCCCGGGATGGGGCTGGGCCCAGGTGCAATCTGTTTCGCTGCCGCCGGCTGCGGGGTTGGTGGCCTGTAGTGAAGCTGCGGGAGGCAGAGGACGTGGAGCGAGAGGCGCGGGAGGCCCAGGCTGGCAAGAAGAGACGGAAGCAGAGGAGGAAGGGCCGGCCAGAAGACCTTGAGTTCACGGACACGGGTGGCAATGTCTACATGCTCACGGTGGGTGTAACCAGCGCAGGGAACGAGCCTGGGCTGGGGCCCGGCCTGAGCTTGCCCAGGAGCTAGGGCCCTGCTCTCAGTGCTCAGCAATGCGGGAGTGTGTTTTCCTAGGGGAAGGTGGAGGCAGAGTTCGAGCTGCTGACTGTGGAGGAGGCTGAGAAACGGCCTGTGGGGAAGGGGCGGAAGGAGCCTGAGCCCCTGGAGAAGCCCAAGTAAGTCAAAAGCATGGGTGTGGGGGGGTGGTGGTGGTGTGGCCAGCAGGGCCTGCCTAGTATCCTGACAACCCCTTCCCACCACAGCCGCCCCAAAACTTCCTTCAATTGGTTTGTGAACCCGCTGAAGACCTTTGTCTTCTTCATCTGGCGCCGGTACTGGCGCATCCTGGTGCTACTGCTGCTGCTGGCCCTGGTCACTGTCTTCCTCCTCCTTGTCTTCTACACCATCCCGGGCCAGATCAGCCAGGCCATCTTCCGTCCTCTCCACAAGCCCTGACTCTAACTGACCCTGTACACCACCCCGGACTCCCACTCCTGGAAACCCCTCCCACCAGGAGCTATCACCAGGTTCGGTGTTTGTGAATAAACCTTGGCACACAGCCACTGACACTGGACTCCATGCTGTGCAAGGCCAGCTCTTACAGGTGGCAGAGGGCAGAGGTGTTTTCAGGTGGGCTCAGGTGCTGGGGATTTACTGGAAGACTGCACAGGGATGGAAGGCTGCCTGGCTCCCTGGGCTGTGGTATGATGAGGTCTTTGGCTTTAGTTCTCTCCAGGTAGAAAGGGCTCTGATGGGAAGCACTCGTTGAAGCCAGAGCCAGGGTCCCTGGTCCAGATTGGCCCCCTGCTACTGGACTGTTGGGAAAATCATGATGCATTTTTGCACAGAAAAACAAAAATGTCATGACTTTCCTGACAACCTATATAATCCCTTCCCACTTTTCAATTCTGACTTCATCTAGGAGGCTGCAAAGGACTTGAATGGACTCCTCTGCACCAAGACCTGTATGGGGCTTGCCACAGAGCAGTCAGTGAGCATGAGAGTATTAGGAGACTGAGCCAGGCTGGCAGGGAGTAGCCCCAGCTGTAGCTGCCACTGAAGAGGTGGCAAGCCCCAGTCTACTCTCAGGGCCCTCTTAACAGTGGCACTGAGTCCTGTGGGCCACTGTGGCTCCAGGAAGCTCACCCTGGAAAAGTCCATCTGGGCCTGGGGGCTAAAACCAAAGACCACAGTGGGTGAGGGATTAGGAAGAGTTATGGAATGGACATCAGTCTGGTTAGAATGTTCTTTTTTTTTTTTTTTTTAAAGTTTCCTTCTTCCATTAACAAGAGATACTAACAGGGCTTTCATGCTGCGATCTAACCCTAGTCCAGATCATGGGCATGTGTGCGCCTGGTATGTTCAGGGAGGTCTCTGGATGTAAACCCAGCACCTTTCCCTGTGGGTCGGCCCCACTGAACTTGGCGTTTTACCGCTGCACCACCAGCCAGCCTCTGAATGAAGCCTTATTAACCAGAGATGCCCATGTGGGGCTCCCAGAGGGCACCTGGGCCACAACTCATCAGTCCTATGTGGTTCCCACATGTGGCTGTAATAAGGGGTTGTTCACATGCTCTGTCCCACCCCAAGAACCACACGGTGAGAAGTGAGTACTATCACAATCATTACATTTATCAACCCGGGGTTGGGACTGGCTCAGGAGGGAATGCAGGGGGATAGGAGAGGCTAGGGAATATCACCACAGGCCAAAGAGAAACAGGAGACAGCAGGACAACTGAGAGAGGTGGAACTACGTTGTCTTCCCTAGATCGATTTTCTTCTGGATGGCTCGTGCTGAGTGGTAGATGAGTGAATCGATGAGTCCAGCCACTGGGAGAGAGACGAGGGCTGGCACGGGCCTACCTTGGCCCTTGGATTGACTTTGAGAGCCAGGCTGGCATCTCCCCTTGGCTCTGGCAGGGCTTCTCCTCCCCAGCCACAGCTTGGTGTGTCCAGGGTATACTCCCCACCATGCCCAGCCTGTGCCCCCAGAGACGCCCCAGGCTCCTTACCTGTGAACATGCCCCCAATGATGGCGCACACGCCTGTCAGGAAGTGGGTAAAGGACCTGGCAGAGGGAGTGGGTGGGCTCAGCAGGCACCCCACTCCCACAGACCCAGACTCCTTCCTTCTCCAAGCTCACCTGTGCTTCTCCGTCAGCTTCACCATCATGGGCGAGAGCTCATAGAGCACGAAGACTCCAGGAAGTCCCTGGTCACCCAGCAGCCCGTTTGCAACTTTCTCATGTCTGGTCACAGAGAACTGATTTGTCCTTAGAACCTGGGATAGGAGGAGAGCCACGACTCACTCCCAGCCCCCTCAGCCCTGCCCCATGCCTGCCCTATGGTGCCTTGACTGTGTAGAGGGAGAGAATGAGACTCCGTGCTCTACCACCACCAGGTCTGGGGACCACCCTAGCTCCCTCTCCTGGCCTTGTCACCCCAATCTCTCTCTGGTCACCAGCCCTTTACTGTCTGCCACCCAGCTACTTTTGGTGAAGGCTCTTAACTGGCAACTCTCCAAGGCCATGCTAACAGGGGGTGGGTCTGACTTCCTCTGCCCTCAGTGCCTGGCTTTCTGCCTCTCGCTGAGGTGCTGCTCTGCAAGCCAGAGCAGTAGCCAAAGCAGCCTGCCAGCCCAGGACAGACCATGGGACCCACACGGACAGTGGGCAGTGGAGGAGTGGGTGGTGGCGGTTCAGACAGTAGAATAGAGCAAGAGCACTGAAACCTACCTGTACTCTGCCTGGGAAGGAAAATCGCCCACCTTCTCTGAGCCTCAGTTTTTTATCCCTCATAGGGGATAAGAGCAGAACTTCACTTCCCAGGATGAAGGAATTAAATAATGAGACTCAGGTGCTTGGTACCACACAGGAGATGCTGGAATCGGGGCTCCCTCTGACTCACCTCCCCGTCTACTTTCATGTACACTGTGGGCACCACCTTCACAAAGTACTGGAACATCATGGAGGCTGGAGGGAGAAGACAGCACTGGGCGTAGGTGCCAGGTAGGGCTTTGGTAGTGGGGGGCTACCTCCCAGGCTGGTACCTTGGGGTGCAGTGACGTTGGTGTGGTCCAGGGGGTTCACAATGCCCGGATAGTCCTCCCCGAACGACAGGTGCTGGATATAGTGGGTCATGTTGATCTGTAAGCAACACAGGCCCAACAGTCCCCAAGTCACCCACCGCTGTGTTAAAGTAGTAGACTGGGTTGCCCGGGTCTGTCTGGGAAATGGAAAAGCGGAAAGGAGGGGCGCTGTCTGGGTGAAGCTAGGGACCTAAGGGAAGAATCTGTAAGAATTCCTCCTTCGCACAGTCTGTAGGCTCCTGCGGCTCCGGGGTTTAAGAAGCTAGCTTTGCCCATCATTAGACACACACAGCTGGCCCTGTGTGGCTGGGGCTGGGTTTTGCCGGAAGTGTCCAAAATGCCCGGATAGTCCTCCCCGAACGACAGGTGCTGGATATAGTGGGTCATGTTGATCTGTAAGCAACACAGGCCCAACAGTCCCCAAGTCACCCACCGCTGTGTTAAAGTAGTAGACTGGGTTGCCCGGGTCTGTCTGGGAAATGGAAAAGCGGAAAGGAGGGGCGCTGTCTGGGTGAAGCTAGGGACCTAAGGGAAGAATCTGTAAGAATTCCTCCTTCGCACAGTCTGTAGGCTCCTGCGGCTCCGGGGTTTAAGAAGCTAGCTTTGCCCATCATTAGACACACACAGCTGGCCCTGTGTGGCTGGGGCTGGCTTTGCCTGAAGGTCTCAAGTCCAGAAAGTCTAGCCCAGAGGGCCCCAGCACTTCCTCCTGCTCTGACTGATATCAACCTCAGAGGGGTCTTATAAAAAATGCAAAGCTGATTCTGTCATGACCCCGCCTCAAGTAGCCCATTAGCTCCCCACTGTTCTTAAGAAAGATCAGACTCTTTAGCCTGACCTCTGAGTCCTGTGCCAGCCTCTCCAGTCTCATCTGGCCACTCCTGTGTCTGGAATTCCTCAGATGTGCCACCTACCCTTCTGCCCTTGCCCTGAGATCCCTCTGTCTGGGACACTAACGGCCTCCTTCCCTGCCCTTAGCCCACTCTGATCTCACTTCAAAAGGAACTCTCACTTCTTCCATTCTCAGACTGGACTCCCATCAGATGGGGTATCTTTGTCTATATGTGCTCCTCATCCCAGGCTATCCCTATAGGCCAACAAGACAACCACCAAGCCTCCTCGCCACCACCCTCCAGGTTTCCCCCAGTACGCACGTTGTCAAGGCCGAAGCTCTGCAAGTCATGGACTAGGAGAAAAGGAGAAGGTGTTATCAGAAGAGGGCTGGCCTACTGGCTCCCACAGAGTCCTGCTCAGGCCTCTTCACTTTTCCTTGGAGCCTGAACTGTCTGGCTTTTCTTGATCTGCATTCACCCTCCAGTCTGGCACCTCCTGGTCCTGCTAAGGGCAGCCAGCAAGGGCCACCTCAAGCCTCTGTGAGAGTCCATGCCCACCTTAAGGGTAGTAAGAACACAGGCCCTATTCTTCCCTGATGTTGGCAGTAAACTCCAGGCCTTCACCCCCTCTAAGGCCCTGCCTGCATCTCGGGAAACAAAATACACTGACTTTGGTCTCATTAACAAGAGCTGATGGCAAATCATTGAACCCCAAAGAGAGTGGGACCTGAGACTGCTATCCAAGCCCTTTCCCTGACTCCCCTCACCCCACCCTCAAAGCTCTCAAAGGGGAGCTCCATGGTACTTGTGCCAACTATTCCAGAACAAGCTCTCCCCATCCTCCAACCACTGTCCTCCTGCTGCAAGGAACTCTACCTCGATGATACATCCCAATGCTTTTTATAGTCACCCAGAGGCCAGGCTAGAAGACCCCAATCCCAGACCCATCCAAACCTCCCCGCTCCTGGGAGGGCAGGCTGCCCCAGAAGAGAGGGCTTGGCCTCCCTGGGGGCAGGACCACTTACTCTCCACAGCATGTACTGCAGCATGGCGGAGGGAAGGAAAGAGAAGGGAGGAAGAGAACAAAGATTCAGAGCTTCACATGAGATCTATGGAGCAAGACACATGGCAGGAGGGAGGACTAGAATGTTCCTGTCTCAGCAATGAGTCTGGCACCAGCTAATAGGCTTCCTCCTTTACCTGGTCCACTCTTCAAAGGGGCCTTTCCCTAGCCAGAGCAGATACAAGAGGGCTTGGGGACAGAAGTATGGTGGAGAAGGAAGAACAAAAGATCCAGCGCTCAAAGAGTCACTTTTCTAGCTGTGTGACCTTGGGCAATTTACTTGTCCTCTCTCGGCCTCAGCATTGTCCTCTGAGGAGGACCAGGTAGGATTTGAATGAAAAACAAACAAACAAACAAAACTTGGTAAACTTAATAACAGAAGATTATACCATACCTTACCTCCTGAAAAAGTAAAAAAGAATGTCAAACACTAGCTCCCAGGCTTCATTCAATTCAGCCAGACCTCTGGCCTGGGCAACTGGATCTGTTTCTAAACATCCTTGTAGGTACAGAGAAGCCCTTACCCCAGGGATCCAGAACTCCAACAGCCCCAGACAGAAGTAGAGATGCTGCCATAGCTTCTGATACTATAAGGCCCCATTCCAGCAGCTCGACAGGATCACCTCCACCCCTGCAGTGTAATTACCTTTTCCCTGGCCTTCTTCAGAGTACAGAGACCACCGCCTCCCCCAGTGCTCAACCTCATCCCCAAAGACTCTCTGAAGGGCCAGCAGGTCCACTTCCACTGGAGTCTTTACTGCTGTTTACCTCAGTGTCTCTGAGCAGCTCAGGATGGACAGGCCATCTCTCATCCCCCATTCCCCTACTGCCACATGGCTCCATGCATCTCAAAATATGATGTCAATTCTCATCCCTTCAACGCCATTCTACTGGACCTTGATACTTGGTCATCAGCAAAACTCTCGTCTTCCATCTCTAAACATGCCTTTCACCCTAGCTTCAACCCCAGCCTAGTTCCCCCTTCGAGGTTCTAGCTCCTTCAGGTCCCCTCAATTACTATTTTCTGTTCCCCTTTATGGCCTAGAGAAGTCCTTGCTCCTTACTGTCACTATCCCCTGATTTACCCTGAAAATTCTCAGCCTTGAAGCTCTGACAAACAACACTCTAGTTGTTTTAGTCACCCAGAGGTAACAGAGAACCTCATGGCCAGTTGTCAATGATTTCAGCAACTGCCCTTCACTCTCTTCTGTATTCTCCTGGCAAAGTTCTAGGTGATTTCCATACCCACACATGTGATCCTTCCAGTATCCTGGCCTATTTCTGGACATCCCTTCCTTTCTGTTCTCTATCTACCTGAGCCACTGTTCTGTAGGTCATTCCCTAAACTTTGTCATTAACAATAACTACACCCCCTCTATAATTTCAGTTTGAAGGATCCCACATCCCAGCTACCAGCTTTCCCATTCTGTCAGCTCACTGCCTCCAGTACCCCAAATCCAGCCAACCTCAACACTACACCAGGACCTCTGGTCCCTTAACTACTCCTGCTCTCGTACTGGCTTCCACCCTCCACTTACACCGCACATCCTCTTTTTCCTCCTTTACCAGCTCACACCCCATGGTCCAGTATCAGGGTCACTTCCTTTACATAGTCTTTTTTTACTTTTTTTTTTTTGAGAGGTTTTTGCTATAGGGCGTGTGTGCTCACCAGACAGATAGAGAGAGACAGAGAGACAGAAA